GCTGCGCCGCGGCTGCACGCGCCACCCCATCCGGTGAGTGGGCTGTGGCAGCAGAGGGAGGGGTGGGGGTCTGCGGAGGGGTCTGGGGGGCTGCAAGGGGTCTCAGGGCTCTGGGTCAGTGGCAGGGGCGGGGTCTGGGGACCAGAGAATCACCAGAATGAGGGTAGGACGGGACCAAAGCAGGACCAGCCTCAAGTGCATCATCCCAGCCAGGGCTTTGTCTATCCAGGATGGAGACTTCAGCACCATTGCAGGGAGCCCATTCCAGTGCTCCTCCACCCCCCTCGGGAGAAAATTCTTCCTTGTATCCAACCTCAGCTTGCCTTACTGCAGCTTGCACCCATTGCTCAGGATAAGTCCTGTCATCTGCCCCCACTGAGAACAGTGCTCTTTGCAACCCCCCAAGTCCCTTTCTGCAGAGCTGCTGCCCAGCCTGTCAGCCAGCCCAGCCTGCTGCTGAGCCAGGTCTCTCTGAATCCCAGCCCGACCCTCCAGTGTCTCTACAACTCCCCCCAGCCTGGGGTTATCTGCAGACTGGCTAAGGGTGCATCAGTGCCATCTTCCGGGCTGGCGATGAAAGTATTGAACAAAACCGATCCCTGGGGCACTCCACTTGGTACCAGCTGCCAACTAGACACAGAGCCACTAATTCCTAGTGTCTGAGCCTAGTTCTCTATCCCCTTTCCAGTCCATTCATCCAGCCTGCGCTTCCTTATCTTGCCTGCGAGAATGTAGACCGTATACAAGCCTTGCTAAAATCAAAGTGCGCCACATCCCCCAGCCTCCCCGCATCCACAGAGCCAGTCACCTCGTCATAGAAGGCAAGCAGGTTGGCTGGGCATGACTTGCCCCTGGTGAGTCCCTGCTGGCTGGTCCCGATCACCTTTTCCTCCAAGTGCATAGAATTGAGGATCTGCTCCATGATTTTTCCAGGGGCAGAGGTGGGGCTGGTAGTTCCCTGGATCCTCCTTCCCCTTCTTAACGATGGGCACTGTTTGCCCCTTTCCAATCATCCGGAATCTCTCCTGATCACCATGTTGATCATGGCCAGTAGCTCTGCAGTTACATCATCCAACACCCTTGGGTACCTCCCATCCAGCCCCATGGACTTGTATATGTCCAGCCTTTCTAAATAGTCCCTAACCTGTTCTGTCAGCACCGAGGGCTGCTCCCCTCCTCCCCAAACTGTGCTGCCCAGTGCAGCCATCTGGGCACTGCCCTCGCCTGTGACGATGACGGTGAAGATGGCATCGAGCACTTCTGCCTGCTCTGTATCCTCCAGCACCAGGCTGCCTCCCTCATCAGTCAGGGACCCGCACGTCTCTGACCCTCCTCTTGTACCAGTATCTTTGTTCCCCTTCAGCTCCAGCTGCGCTCGGGCCTCCCTGAATGCATCCCCGCCTGCCCCAGCCACACTGTTACACTCCTCCCTTCTTCCTCCTCCAAGTTTCCACTTCTTCCAAGCTTCTTTTTTGTGATTTATTTTACTGAGGAGTTCCCTGCTAAGCCCAGCTGGTCTCTGCCAGACTTGCTCGTCTTCCTGCATGCTGGTCCTGCGCTCTCAGTAAGGCTTCTTTAAAGTCCAGCCAGCTCTCCTGGACCCCTCTCCCCCTCTGTCTGGTGTCCCCAGGGATCCTGAGCCATTCGCAGTCTACTTCTCTGGAGTCCAGGGTCCTTCCTCTGCTGCTCTCTGTCCTCCCTCTCCTCAGGATCCTGAACTCAATCCTCTCACGGTCGCTGCTGCCTGAGTTTCCATCCAGTTCTCTGTTCCCCACCAATCCCCTGTGAGCAGCAGGTCAAGGAGCACGGCCCTAAGTCAGCCACTCCAGCGCTTGCACCATGGCGTTGTCCCCAACACCGTCCTAAAGCTCCCTGCATTGCCTGTGAATGGCAGTGTTGAACCCCCAACTGATATCAGGAGGATTGAAGTCCCCCATGAGAACCAGGGCCTGTGCCCAGGAAACTTCTGCTGGTGGCTAGAGATAGGGCCTGGGGTCTACAGCAAACTCCCCCCTACCCACAGACTTCACCAGGCCTCTCTCCCATCTCACACCACAGATGTGAGCACTCGCACGGGTCCTTTACACACAGCATAACTGATAGTGGGGGTGACTGGAGGGGTGTGTTGGGGTGCCAGGGGGTGTCTGGGAGACAGTGTGTGGGGGGGCACATGGATGGTGGCAGGGTGTGTGGGGGGCCATGTGGGTGTTGGGGTATATGTGGGGTGCTGGGGTGTGTGGGAGGAAGTGCTGGGGGGGACATGAGGGGTGGCATGGGGGATAGTGCAGTGTGGGGGCGCCCCAGCCTGCCCTTGATTGTGCTCGCGGCCCCACAGGGCGGTGGAACAGCAGCTGCAGGACCTGAGCTCGCTGCTGTCGGCAGCTCAGCGCAGCCTGCGCACAGAGCCTGATGCTGACGTGGTGCTCTTGGAGGCGCCTGCCCCCGTGCCCGCCAGCCCCCTGCTGCGCCTCAAGGTGCGGTGCCGCGGCCAGCTGCACCGCCTTCCCCTTGGCCCGGTGAGTCCCCGTTGTGCCGCCTCTGCGGAACACACCCTGGGGGTGGGAGGTCTGGGCCGCCTGCCCCTCCCTGACACGTTGCTCCCTGCAGACGCAGCCGCTGCAGCGGGCGGCTGAGCAGCTGGCACAGCTCCTGGGCGTGCCACCCTCCCGTGTCCTGCTGCTGTGGCACGACCGCCTGCTGGAGCCCAGTGCCACCCCCCGTGCCCTAGGCCTGGGCGTGGCTGACATCCTTGGTGAGCACCCGGACACCTGGATTCCCCACGGGGAGCGGGGGCCCAAACGCCTAGGTTCTCTGGGGAGGGTTGGAGCGGGGGGACTGGGAGCCCAGACATCTGGGTTCGCTGAGTGGGGCATTGGGGTGCTGAGCTGTGCGTGTTGTGCAGACTGCGTGGTGGAGCCGGTGGACAGTGGTGCCGGGGGGCAGGCACCCCCCCCTTCCGACGAGCTCAGCCTGACAGTGCGGGGTCGTGACCCAGGCTCCCAGTTCACGCTCAGCGTGCCCAAGGTGAGAGGGGTCCTTAGGTGGGAGCAGGGGGGCCAAGAGCCTGGGTTCTGTGGGGTGGGGGAGCCTAGCCTCGGCACTGAGCCTCTTTCCGCAGACGGCGCCACTGTCCGGACTGATGGGGCGGTACCGCGCAGCAGCTGGGCTGGACGCGGCACCACTGCGCTTCGTCTTCGACGGCCGCCTCCTGCCGCCCTCGGACACCCCTGAGCAGCTGGGGCTGGAGCCTGGCGACGTCATTGAGGCCTGGAACTAGCTCTGCCAACCCTGCCGTGATGTCATTGGAGGCTGGACCTGGCCCCGCCCACCCTGCGGGTGACATCAGCAAGTTTGGACCTAGTTACACTCATCTGCCAGTGATGTCTTTGAGACCTAGGCCTACCCAGGCAGTGACATCATCAGGGCCTGGCCTTTGCCCCACCTACCATGCTGATGATGTCATCAGGGTGTGACTACATCTTAGCCTGTTATGTCATCCTTGCTTCCCTGTCACCAGCCTAGCCCCAACTGCCCACTGGGAAATCCCCACCTGTGCTGTGACCCATTAGTACTGCCATTTAAGGCCTGCAGTGGGCCAGGTTCCCCTCCTGTACACCGTGATGTCATCAGGGCCCGGCTGATGTAACAGGGTATTGGGCCTCAGCTCCTATGCACCTCCCCTTTGGCTTTGGGCCCCTTCCTGCAGAGTGTGTGTGACATCAGACCCCACCCACTGTCAGGATTCCCTCTTTCACATCACTTCAGACTTCGGTGCGGCCCAGACCTGGGCAGGGGTTGGTGGGTGGCCACAATGATGTCACAGCACTGCTTCTCCCCCGGTGCCATCACCTGGGGTAGCTCCGCCCCCTGGCCTCCATGCATATGAATAAATGACATATGAATTGGCTGCCTTGTGCTCCACTCGCAGCGGGGGGGACCCAGGACATGGGGCTCCTGGCATCTGGTGGTGGATGGACACAGCGGAGGGCCTGGTTCCCATGGGAACGGGGGCAGAGGAGGTTGGGTCACAGGATAGAATGTGACTTGGAGGGTGGCAATGGGGACGCGTGGGGGAGGTGGGGAGGGCAGACACATAGCACCTGCCCTGCTTACCCACTCCCCGCCATTGACCCCGGCCGTGCCACTCGCTCCCAGCCCGCAGCCCCACCATGGCCCTTCGACCAGCCAGGAAGCAACGGGGGCCGCAGGAGCACTGCATCCACCTCGCCTCAACTCGGGGCTTGGCCTGCAGTGACCCCAAATCTGACCTTGTGACCCCAAGTTGCACTCTCTGTGACCCCCGGTTTCCCCAAAAATTAGTTGGTGACCTTTCACATAATTACTGGGGGGATTTGACCTCTCGTGACCCCAAGTTGCACTCTCTGTGACCCCCGGTTTCCCCAAAAATTAGTTGGTGACCTTTCACATAATTACTGGGGGGATTTGACCTCTCGTGACCCCAAGTTGCACTCTCTGTGACCCCCGGTTTCCCCAAAAATTAGTTGGTGACCTTTCACATAATTACTGGGGGGATTTGACCTCTCGTGACCCCAAGTTGCACTCTCTGTGACCCCCGGTTTCCCCAAAAATTAGTTGGTGACCTTTCACATAATTACTGGGGGGATTTGACCTCTCGTGACCCCAAGTTGCACTCTCTGTGACCCCCGGTTTCCCCAAAAATTAGTTGGTGACCTTTCACATAATTACTGGGGGGATTTGACCTCTCGTGACCCCAAGTTGCACTCTCTGTGACCCCCGGTTTCCCCAAAAATTAGTTGGTGACCTTTCACATAATTACTGGGGGGATTTGACCTCTCGTGACCCCAAGTTGCACTCTCTGTGACCCCCGGTTTCCCCAAAAATTAGTTGGTGACCTTTCACATAATTACTGGGGGGATTTGACCTCTCGTGACCCCAAGTTGCACTCTCTGTGACCCCCGGTTTCCCCAAAAATTAGTTGGTGACCTTTCACATAATTACTGGGGGGATTTGACCTCTCGTGACCCCAAGTTGCACTCTCTGTGACCCCCGGTTTCCCCAAAAATTAGTTGGTGACCTTTCACATAATTACTGGGGGGATTTGACCTCTCGTGACCCCAAGTTGCACTCTCTGTGACCCCCGGTTTCCCCAAAAATTAGTTGGTGACCTTTCACATAATTACTGGGGGGATTTGACCTCTCGTGACCCCAAGTTGCACTCTCTGTGACCCCCGGTTTCCCCAAAAATTAGTTGGTGACCTTTCACATAATTACTGGGGGGATTTGACCTCTCGTGACCCCAAGTTGCACTCTCTGTGACCCCCGGTTTCCCCAAAAATTAGTTGGTGACCTTTCACATAATTACTGGGGGGATTTGACCTCTCGTGACCCCAAGTTGAACTCTGTGACCCCCTGGCTTCCCTAAAAAATAAATTGGTGACCTTTCAGCTAATTACTGGGGGGGATTTGACCTGTAGTGACCCCAAGTTGAACTCTCTGTGACCCCTGGATTCCCAAAAATTTTGGCTGTGCCCTTCCACCTAATTACGTGGCATTTGACCTATAGCAATGACTTCACATTGACCTTTCTGTGACCCCTGGATTCCCCCCAAAAAAGTTGGTGACCTTTCACCTAATTAGGGGGGAGTTGACCTATAGCAACCCCAAATCTGACCTGTAGTAACCCCACGTTGATCTCTCTGTGTGCCCTGGTTTTCCAAAAATGCTGGCTGTGACCTTTCACCTAATTAGGGGACATTTGACCTGTAGTAACCCCAGGTTGAACTCTGTGACACCTGGTTTCCCCCAAAAAATATTGGTGACCTCTCACTTAATTAGGGGGGATTTGACCTATAGTAACCCTGCATTGACCTCTCTCTGACCCCTGGTTTCCCCCCAAAAAAGTTGGTGGCCTTTCACCTAATTAGGGGGGATTTGACCTGTAATACCCCCAATGTGACCTGTAGTAACCCCATGTTGACCTCTCTGTGACCCCTCTTGCCCCAAGAATTGGGCTGTGACCTTCCCCCCCATTATGGGGAGACTTGAACCCTCTGTGACCCCCCCCCCATAGGCTGGGGTTGACCCTTTGTTGGCCTCTCAGCGCCCCCTGCTCCTGCCATGACCCCAACGTGCCATCCTGCAGTCTCAGCCAGTAACCAGGCACAGTGATGTCACTGTAGGTGTGCGATCACCAGTGCGCCGTTCCATTTTTCATGAGCTTGTGAACACGAGGAGGGAAGAGCCGATTCCAAGGATGGAGCAAGGTCCTTCCTTCACTCCAGTAATGTGACCATCAAGAAGCCGTGGAGGGGCCATTTTAATTCTTCTCTACCATCCAGATGAAAAATGTCTGAACCTTCATCGCTAGGAATAATGGTTATTTCTGCTATCTGGGTGGGAAGGGAAATATTCCAGGAATAACTGAAGGAAGACAGGAGTGCGATGCTGACATTTGTGTCTTACTCTGCAGCAAGCGCTGACCTTTCTGAATGCAGAATGAGTGAATCATGGCTGCCGTGAAACAGTCAGTTCCTATTACCATATGACTAGACACATCCCATTTACTGCCATCACTTTACAATAAGAAAGGCAGTGAGCCAAATCCTGCTCACATGAGCTGCCAGAAGCTGAGCCTCATGGGTGAAGCGATAACCTTTCAAATGCGACCCGAGCATCCTCACTGCAGTGATGTCGGCCTGAGTCTCCCAGCAGCTGGAAAAAAATGACTCAGAGGGGGGAATGCCATTTCTCCTATTAATTGGATCGGCATGTCAAGTTTATAGCCCAACGAAGCTACTTTAGTTTCAACACGCTCTGTTTAATGACTGATTATTTTAGCAGAAGGGCTGGAGGTGGGCGTGATGCTCGTGGGGCTAAGACCTGCTGTAGAGCAAAGACGAAACAACTGGGAAAAGCGGAAAAAAATCGAGAAAGAATGATCAGGAAAGAGGCAAAATAAGGGCCAGAAATAGCAGTAGGTTAACGGTGCAGATTTTCTCATTTACATCCCAGTCTGCAGGTACAAAATTCAGCCCACCCCCCTGCTTGAGTCTGATGCCCCAATTGAGCGGGTATTTGGTTTTCAGTGCAATACAAAGGATGACCATCACACACTAAGCACTGCCCTTCAGGTTGGGTTTTTTTGTCATTTTAATTTGCCAGCAGTGTCCTTTACAGCCTCGTATTCCTCCACAGTACCCATAGTGATGCTTCCTCCAGGAAAGCGTATACCAGTCACAGACAGGAATGATGAGGAGGAGACTTTCTGTTCATGAAACAAAGATGAAGCAGATGTTTGAGGCTTGATTACAGTACACACTGCCTCCAGGATCAGTACTTTGGAAAGTTAATTGTATATTTACCCGGGTAAACTTTATACATGGCATATCAGCTGTTCTACACATGCCAGACAGGAGTGAATCCAATACTGATTTTAGTATAAATGAGGGAGTATTTATATGATGTAGTTTAGCTGATTTCACATATCAAAAAAAAAGCACGGGATTTTTTTTTTTTGTTCAAAGCAAGGTCCTACTTTAACTTCATTGCACCAAGGATGTCTGAGTAAATTGGATACATTTCATTCAGACTGAAACTATAAGAGCTAGTTCCCTCAAAAAGAAAAATTAACCTGACCATGTAATTAAAGGGTATATCACAATGCATACCTACTGCAACCTTCAATTCTGACATTTCCTGACTTCTGAGTGCTTGTCTTTGCATAACAGATAATGATGTGGTCAAATGGGCCAATTAAATATGTTGTCGGTAGTGGTGCTTGTCGTTTTGCTGCAGGCAGACATTATGTAGCACGAGGCATATGCATTGCGTGACACGGGCAAAATGTCTAATCAAAGTTAGCACGATCTGAGGTTTCCCCATTCAACACCTGTTGGGTGGGGATTGCTTTGTTTCCAATAGAAATGTTCATTCACTCAACAGTTTGCTTTTGGGAGTTATGTTACCTCTTTTTTTATGCGAGTGGCTGATCAATATTTGCAGGGGGGAGCTCATAGACTGTTTTTATTTGAAGGATGAAAGAACCAGAAGAAGGTGTTTCTTTAATGTGTTCCTTGTTATTTATACAGAGGATCCTGGTTCCCTGAAGACTGGCAGAATGAGACAAAAGGAGACCTTTTCTTTGCTCGTCATTCCAAGCCTCTTGCCAGCCAGCATTTGCCTAAAAGCACCTCTCCCTCATGGCCTCATTACAAATACTCCTCTTGCTATCAGTCTGCTTTTTGGCTGCTGTTCCTCGCAGGTACACAAAGCTTCACAGAACAAGGCTCCAGGCCCCAGCAAAATTGTTCCATCCACATCATGGAGTTTGCACATGGCCTGTATTTTGTGTGTGGGTCTCATTGAAGTTACCGTATTTCACACCAGAAAGGAACTAAACCACTTCTCTGATTTATACTGATGGACAGATGGCAATCACACCCATCAGCTTCAAAAGCCTAACCTCTTACTTAGCATTTGCATAACTTCCTATCACTGACTAAGACGTAACTTTATGCATCCTCTGGGCCTAACATTTACATTGAATTCCAGGTGGGAACTGATATGGACATCTAGATTTAGCGATATGGGCATCTAGATTTACTGATATGGACATCTCGATTTAGCGAGGTATGGAACATCCTTACAACAGAGAAATTTAGCATCTCTAGCTGAAATCCCACGCCCTGGCAGACGGGCACCTGCTTCATATGGCACATCCTGCGTCACAGCATGGAAGGGCTCCAGGCTTGTAAAGTGATGGCGGCTCTTTATTCAGAGACCTATTTACAGAAGTGCTGCACCATTCAGGCCATGTACATGCAGACTGACTTTGTGGTTCCCTCCTCCAAAGTCTTCCCTCCTTCAGCACATGCCCCTACCTTCAAGTTGCATGCGGGTTTCTTTACCAACAAAGGACTACGCACC